AAGAAAGAGAGAAAGAAAGCAAGAAAGAGAGAAAGAAAGCAAGAAAGAGAGAAAGAAAGCAAGAAAGAGAGAAAGAAAGCAAGAAAGAGAGAAAGAAAGCAAGAAAGAGAGAAAGAAAGCAAGAAAGAGAGAAAGAAAGCAAGAAAGAGAGAAAGAAAGCAAGAAAGAGAGAAAGAAAGCAAGAAAGAGAGAAAGAAAGCAAGAAAGAGAGAAAGAAAGCAAGAAAGAGAGAAAGAAAGCAAGAAAGAGAGAAAGAAAGCAAGAAAGAGAGAAAGAAAGCAAGAAAGAGAGAAAGAAAGCAAGAAAGAGAGAAAAAGAAATAGAGAAAGAAAAAAGAAACCGTGTAATCGCAGGTGGTCGCATAGTTCAGTAGTAAGATGTACAAGTTCTCGTGAGTCACTCAATTTCTTTTTTAGTGTAATCTCTATGAAGTCTCTCTTAAACAGCACTCAAAGCCAGTTTCTCGCTTTTAAAGGGCAGTGCATAAGATTGTGTTTCACTAAGGCATTTGTAAAAGCAACGCCTGACGACAAGTGACGCATCGAAGTTCGCACTTCATCGCGGCCGAAGTTGAGATCATAATGAGACATTGAAAAGTTTACAGGTCCAATAGGCACGCTGCTATGCATTCTAATGTGGCATCGTGCAGCGAAACTCGGGTATACGCAGTTTCAGCACTGCAGCAGGCTTCGTGAGCGAAGCGCGCTGCTTCGTTGACCCTTTTGACGGCCAACGCAGCAGTAAGTTGGTATTAATTAAACACGCAGTCGTACCCCTAGTCGGGCCAAGTCAAGTCGAGATATATCGGTTTTGGAAGCGTGCATAAACTAAAAACATATTCAGTCTTCCTCTAAAAAAATATGGGCGTGAGGGCTAATTAGAAGGCGTCTGAAATAAAAAATGGAATCCTTTCAGCTGCTATAAATACGAGGTGATGCAAGCGACACGATCGTTTATTGTTTCAACAGAATAACTGAATCAGCGCGCGAACAATCATGAATGACGCAAAGTGCACGCTATGAAGATCGTATCGTGCTTGTAGGTCAACCGGAAGCCGGTCGACACATGGGTGTTGGGAGGCCATGGTAACGCCTCGATTGAGGCAGCACCAGACGACGTGAGTTTGGCTTCTTTTGAAGTCACAGAAGCACAAGCGACGATTAAATTTGAGTAACAAATAAAAATATAAAGGATAAGAAATGTGCAGCTAAGTTGCAAGATCTATAGACCGACAATAAAATTTTAGTGCAGTTGCCTTTCTGGTCTTAATATGGCGCTGACTACCAGTTTTCACCGCCGTACGCTGATAAGCTTTAACGCTGCTTATGCTGAAAAAAAAAAACGATTTTTGTGATTAGCTCGCACGATGCTTGACTTGCTGGTGAAATAAAGACGCACGCTAGAAACTACCATGTTCCCGTTTTGCACGCATGCCTTGGAACGCACCACTTTTCTCACCCCTTCCCCCCATCCGTCGGACAAAGAGCAGGAGCAAACATCACCGAGAAGCGAACGGCCAGCACCCAAACGGCACAAAGTTTCGCTTAGGGCGGCATCCGAGGCGTCCGAAGATCGCAGCACCAAATAAGCGCACCACGCAAAAACAAGAATGGCAGGAGACTGTGCGAGGCAGACCAACAGACGCCGAGGGGCCAGCGGCAAGGAAAAACGGCGACGGGGAGGAGGATGCAGACCTGCAAAACGAGGCCGGGAACCCCAAGCGGTCTTCTATTTGCCGACGAGCCAGGGGCGCGGCAGGCAAGCGGTCCCCTCATCTAATTTAGCGCGGCCGGCCGCAAAGGACCCAGGCGTAACTCAATTGACCGACAGGCGAGGCGGCGGCCGCCAACTCGCAGCGTCAGTCAAGATCGGCCGCCGCCGAAGCCGATCAGAAGAGTGGTGGAAAAGGAGGAAGCCTCGCTTGTTCACCCTCTCCCCGCCATCTCAGTTGGAGAGTGGGGCGCGCCCAACACCGGCTAGCACGCGCAACCTTGACGAGTCGAGTCAACAGATATTGCACGCGGCTCTTGATCCGCGTGCGCGCGCCAGCGCTGAGAAACGCGCGCACCAGCTGAAAGCGCTCGTGACGTTCTCACCACACGAACACCCTACTCGTTGACCGCGTTTTCCTGCTATTGGTGCAACGGCCGAGAGCGGAAGCGTTCTGAACATCACCTGCATGAAATCAATCCTACTCGGGTGTTCCTGCGGCCGAAGCAATGACTTGATACGGCCAGGCGGTGAAAACATTTTGGTCTCGGCGGGGGTCGCCAAAAATCCCTTAGAGCAAGAGAAACTATACAGGCAGCAGTGACATTTGCAAATAGGAATGTCGCAGAACGACTCACTGAAGTTTCCGGTTTCAAATGTGAGCGTCTTTTTCAGTCGAGAACGAGTCATTTCTCGCTAGACTTAGCTTGTATTAGCGCGGTACATATAATAAGGAAAGATTACTCAGACGCAAAGAAAGGTAGGTGCTACCAACCTTTCTCTAGCGCCTACCCCTGTGTCGTATTTCCTTCTTATAATGCACCACGCTAATACAAGCTAAGTCCATAGATGACCAACTCATCCGAGTTTCAACACTTCTGAACTTCACATCTTCCTCATCTTTTGCTGGCAACAACACGATGAGCGGACTGTACATCTCCTCCACGCATCGCGCGCACGCGCACACAACAACCGCACGCACAATTGAAGATCGAGGCGGGTGGGCCTCCGTAGCAGCGACAAATCGCCCGGGGCCGAGCAACCCTGCTGTGCACCGATGATTCGGGACCCAGCGAAGCCTACTGAGGGGCTCGTGCCTTCCCGGCATTCGAACACGGCTCAAGGCCTCGTGCAAACTATGCCGGACCCGCTATTCTCCCTCCTCGCAGTTCGAAACTTGGCGCCTTGGGCATGGCTCACTCCCTTTCAGCCGTCGCAGCATGTCCCCGAGCAATCCGTTGGAAAAGAGAGGATTCGGGGGAAGCGAGGGCTTCTCAGCCGGCGCTCCCAAAGGACCTCGGCTAAACAAGTTTCGGGTTGGGGCTCGGGTCCTGATGCGAAGGCCCCGGTGGTGGCTTGTCGAACCGTTTGCCTTTTCTCATGCCGTTCCCGCGAGTGCTTTGCAAAGCCGACAGGAAGGGGGGACAAAAAAAAGAAGGACGCGGATCCTTAGTCGGCAATTGAAAAACTCAACTTTGCCCTCCCTCACGCTCCAATTGTGTAGTATGTCGCATTGCGTCAGCTTCCAGGAGGGAAGCGAGACGCTGAAATTCTAGTCGCTTCGTCCCAAGATATCGCACGATTCAATTACAACGTTACCAAGCGGCGCGGAAGACGAACGCCTGGTCAACTATTTTATTCGTGGTGTATTGTAGCACCAATTCACTGGCAAATGAGAACTACAAACATCTCTTATAATAACGTCTGTCACACCTGTCCCGTTTATTAGGGAGGCGATCGCCGGGCTAATTCCAAGAGCCGAAGTATCGGCCCCCCGAACCGCACCACGAAAGCGTGGACAATTTAGAAGTGGTCCTTATTGGTGCGCCAGCGGACGCCGGCTGTGGCCCAAAGAACAAGACAGAGCCGAGAGTTGATAAACAAACAAAATTATATTCTCATTAACGGCAGATCAAAAACAATACACACGTATGCACACTCCACAATAGTTACATACAATACGTCACCAAACAGACAATGTACTACACAGTACAATCAACCACACTTGAAACAACGGACACAGACAACAATACGCACTTCAATGCAGTCGCATGCATTGAACAACCAAGACACTTAAAGACTAAAGAGATATAAAACCTATTCAGTCCACAGTCCTTGGAACAAAAGTCTGAATGATACTCTTCCGAGAATCACTCACTCAAAGTCCAGCGTTGTTGTCGTTCCGCAGCTCTCGAAGTTCTCTCCCCGGAAACCTCGCGTCCTCAAAGGGCCACTCTCCAAGCTTCAAGCTTCTTCGCCGGAAATCCGTCGGCTTCACACACGCAGCTGTTGCCCGCGTCTTCGCTCGATAGCGGTAAACCCACGCTCTTGCCTGTAGCTCGAGCCGTCCCTACGGACCAAAACTTCGCCGACTACACAGCGGACTCTCTACGCACTCTGGCGCTCACTTCCGTCTCCTCCTGTTCTGTCACTACGGGCAGAACCTTCGCCGACTACACGGCGGAATTCCTACGCGCTCTGGCGTTAACTTCCGTCACCTCCTGTTCTGTCGTCTCGGCCGCTCGATTAAATACCTTCCGCGCCACCTTCCAGAAATTTCTGGTCATTTCGTCGGCGCGATACGCGGCGAAAGCTGGGAAGAGGGCGAGACAGTTGGAATGCCCTCTCCGGCCGGTGAGTCAACTCGGTATGGCCCCGCCCACTTCTTTCTGGAAAAATCGCGGGCTTGCTGGGCCGCCGATGTGGGGTGAGGAGGTTCGTCTGCGAAGCCGTGCTTCTGCGGGGAGAGCGCGCGCCCGGGAGCCTTGGATGTTTGCTTTCTTTTTTTTTCTTTTTACCTCGCGGCGTTTCTACCGCCCGTTGTCGCAAGGATTTGGCGGCGCGCTCTCTTTTTAGCGCTCGTTCTGTGACACTGCCCCCCACTTTAAGAATATTATCTCATAATATTCAAAACCACACAAACGAGCGCGGAAAGTCACCACACACTCTCACAGACTGTAACACCATCAGTCGCTCGTGACACGTCACATTCACAATATATATCACGCAATACAATCGTACAATGTAGTTCAATTCCACAACACATGAAATATAGCCACAGGTACATGCCTACAACACTTTATCACACATTCTAAACAATACAAACGTACAAAGTTCTGTCTATCCAACAATTATACAACACTATACATCACATCACAGCACAACACTTCGACACTTGTGACACAGGATAACAAGAACATTAACACAACATATGTCACTCAGCCCTGCCAAACACATTCTGATTCCACCTCAGCACCTATCTTGAGTACTTCGAACAGCGCTTGCGCCCC